TCATCTGCAACCTATCATAATAACTAGAAAACTTCAGACATATCAAATTGAATTAAATTAAATTATAAGAACCAAATCGAAGGTTAGCAACTTGTCCAGAGGAAGAAAAGACAATATTTTGCATAGAATTCTAACTCAATCAGTTCATAACTTCATGTAACAGGTTGGGGGGCGGACCTCACAGGATAGGTACCAACCTAAAAGATTTACTGATTGTCAATCTTCCCCCGAAAACCACTCAATCCTCAGACAATTCTAATATAAAGAAGCCCGATAATGTCTCCTAAACAGCTACATGTACAATACTAATAATATGCAACAATGCAAATTTTTATTACATTTCCTCAGTATTGTTATTTCATCCCACCAGATAACCCTATTGGCCATGTTGCATTGAAGAAATCCTGCATCAATGCCACATAGGCCCTTGTACCTTTCATTTAATATGCAAGATCAATAAAATGCTTGGGAGTTCCAAAGTTCACTGATTGAAAATCCCCTTCGAAATCCAAGGCCAAATAAGAGTATCTGATTTCGTAGTTACTATAAGAGACTACTGTAGTTTAGAGGGCTTAGCATGCATTACACAACTCCAAGCCATACCTAGCTTGATGAATTCTACTACGAGACATCAACTTATTGATAGAATATCAAGACCCATACAGTAGAAATAAGAGAAAATTAAGAGGATATAGGGATAGTTAAGTGTTGTTTGTGGTTGATTTCTCGTGTGGTTGTGCTGTCAATTTCCTAGGGGTTAGTTATGTTCAGTTATTTTAATGACGGTTATTTCCTAGCGATATACATGTGCTGCACTAACTATTAGGTCCCGTTTGGTTCCCAGGAATATTTTAAAGCAATAGGAAGAGGAAAATGAATTGGAATAAGCTCAAAAGGTATGTTTGATGTGAAGGGGGGAAAAAAAGAATGGAATCTTGAAATAATTTTTCTCTGAGAAAGGTGGTAGATCTATGAGGAAGCTTGATTTGCTGAAGAAAATTCAAGACCGTCGACAATGCCATCACAAAAGAGGGTAAGGTTGAAGGTGGAGGGTGAAGGTATGAGAAGGTTGCATCTAGGTTCTCCATCCATGAAGACGGCAGATTACTCTCCATAGGAACAGAATGGATGAAGATTATTTTCCAAGGAAAATAAAAATTTTCCAGCCTTTGCCATGAAAATCAATTCCTAAAAAGCCAAAATCATGCAAGCCAAACCACAGAAAATGGTTTTTTCTCTTCCTTTTCGTGCTATTGGGCCCTCTTTCCAGTGAACCAAAAGGGGCCTTAGAGAATGGACGTGAAGTATAATTCAGTATAATATCTTGGAGATTCTTCCATTGGCTTTATTGGACTCTGAACTTCAGATTCCAGTTCATAAACTGATAGAGAAATCTTTTATTCCCCTTCTTCCTCATCCATCTCTATTTCTTCAGTTCCCAAGAAGTTCCCTTGAATTTACTACAAGATCCACAGAAAATCCCCACAATCTATCATATTCACGACTCAAAATTTGATCACCTATGGCTAGATACCACGACCCCACCACCTTAAGACCATAACACAGAAAATTACTCTTCTTTGGTGGGTCCATCAATAACAGATTCATCATACAATCTATGCATAAAATTGAAGTAAAAACTAATGCACGTAACAGATTGCGAAGTAATCACCTAACCTCATTGTAAGTGGTTCTCCCCTTACTTTCCACCTTTTCACACACTGCAGGAGAAAAAGATAAATATATTACTAAGTAAACATAAGCAGCAACTGCATAAAATTGATGTCTAAGAGCAAAAGTTTGTAGTTATTGAAGTACACAAAATGCAACTCAGCAAGGCCAACATTAAAAACAAGAACATAAAGGGGAAATGGATGGATAATAAACCTTTCATGCTAAATTGGCGGAGCCCTCTTCCACTCTTGTCGCCTCCAACAGCACGCTGGCCTCTTTTTTTCTTCTTGCTACTGTTTAAAAACTAAGAATAAATAAGAACAGAATAACTTTGTAAACAAAGAACAAAAAAGCATATAGAGAATTGTAAAACCACATGAATTAACACTCGCAAGTATTAATTATAATTCACATCCAGTATCTAATTCTACAATGAAAGTAAATGCGTGAGCACGTGTTACCTTGAACCAAACTAGAAACAAAGCAATCCAGTGAATATCAGGAAATAAACAAATAAACCACATTTAAAAATGTAATCTGCTAGAACCTTAAAAAGGAAAGCCACCAAGGTCCAGATCATACTACATTATAACAACTACACATTCACTACAACCTCATAGAATAACAGAGAACTCACGCAACTGCTCCCTGAGATCCCGCATCATCACCATGGATGTCAAGATGATTTAGTCTTAGAAAAGTGTTATCACTGGCCGGTGTAGCCATTGTCTGCTCACTCCGACTGGATGGAGACCCAACACTTTTACTTGTAGAAATTGATTGGCCAGAAAGTGTTGTTCCACGACCTAGCAGCTCATCTTCCTCTTCCTCTCGACATGGTTGCTGAGGTCGTGTCCCCATTTTGGTAAGTTACTTACCTATCCTCCTGATAAGAAATCCCTATGATAAAAAAAGACTTCAATTGAACTGGAGATTCAAGGTAGAATAAATGGTTTCCTGCATGATATAAACAAAGATCAATTCAGTAGCGCCTCAAGCACCATTCCAACACTATTCAACATGAGAAGGTCCATACAATAGAAAAAGTATGACAAAGCACCAGGAAAGACCTTATAGCAACTATTCGATCACAATGAAAACATAAGATTTCTGCCGTACAGAGAACTCCATCAAGATTCATAATAACATATAATAATAAACTGAAGCAAGATAGATAAACGAATCAGTCAAAAGAATGACTTGGTTCCTACCACATAATATGAGTAGAACTTACAAAAATCAGCATCAACACAAAAGATTCAGACTTGACACAGAATTATTGAAGAAACATAATGATTCTTACCACATAGGGAAATCAATAATTTTTCTGATCCTGACTGCTAAAAGAAGACAGTTTGGATATGAAGAGACAGAGGAGAAGGGACATAAGAGCTCAGTAGCAATATGCTTCTCCGCATGCTCACCGCCTAAATTGAAAGTTACAAATATCAGTATAAAAATATAAAATGCAAGAGGTTAAATAGTTAAGAAAGGCAAATAGGCGCCCAATTAATTGCACAAATCTCTACTGACATGCATGACGCAATTTTGCAAATTGAAAAGCTACACGTTCTGTATCACAGAACTAAAATATCGAAATCAATAATCAAAGTTTTACAAAACAATGTCAGCTGGGATTTCCAACACTGTAGATAGAAAAGCCAAGATTGCTCAACTACAAGCTCTTGTTCAACAATTAAATTTGTTCCGGTCTCTGCCACAGGAAATATAACACTGAACAAAACCCTAGAGGATCTCACTCCATAATAACAATAAAACCCTATTAAAGTTCAACGCTACTATAGTAGCATATAATAAAAATCACTCATCAAACCAATAATACTTCCAAAGAGCAGAAAGTTACTCTGACCCCAATATTCCACTTGAAAAATAATATATATCTATGATAATATGCGTACGTACTCTAACAGTATCTTGGTACATAATAAACACCGCAGGAGGGAAAAGGATTACGGTATGAAAGAGTCAGTAGGTTGCTATTTAATTCTAGAGAAAACACAAAAGAAGCAGAAGGAAATAACAAGAACAAATAAACAAACCAGATGCAGAAGCAAACGAGAAGCATATTCCGAAAACGGAGGACACCGAGAGAACGCGAAAGCAAATCTGAACGAGATTCAGACACGATGTTTGACGCCGAGAACGAGAATCCAAACGCCGGGGACGAATCTGAGCTCGAGGCGAGAGATAAGAACGGCAACTGTGAGGGGAGTATGAGTGAGAGGGTGTCGAATGAAAAAACCTAACCCGTTTTGCTTGGAAGGAGAGAGAACGTGCGAGGAAACGCAAGCAGGAGAGAAAAACACCGCTTGGATGAGGAGAAAACTAAAAAGGAAGGAAAGGTGGGAGAGAAAATAGTAATGCCACACCACATTTGATACTTGATAGCGTGGAAGAGTGGTTAATGGAAATGAAAGTTAAAAAAAAAAAAAAACGAAAGTAAGAATTAAATGGATTTGCAATAAAAAGTTGTCTAGATTAACTTTTTAAAAATAATTTTACAGTTTAAAATAAATCTATGAGACAAATTTTACCTCAAATTACATAAAAATATTTTTTAAGTATTTACTAGAGTCTTCAAACATCCCGAATTTAAATCCCGTTTTAGCCATCTTTAATGCATGAGAGGACCATCGTTGACAAAAGCATTATAGTCAATTTCACATTAAATTACCATTTATTTTCATTCTTAAATATTAAACAGAAATTTTGAAATTATTTGGAAGTTAATAGATATTAAATTGCTAATATTTTTCCTAATTTTTTCAACGGGTTTTTTTGGGTTAACCATCATATATAGAAATATGATATGATGCTAAACTTTTAAGGACCTAAATTAAAAGAATTGAAGTGGATTGATTCCAATTTTTAAGGATATCACAATTAAATTTCTAATATTATTTATTAAAAATTATTTAGACCCTGAATTTTTGAATTTATGCGAAATGTATACGTACTTCTTAAATGTTTATAAACATTGTTATATAAATAAAAACAAAACTCTTTTCACATATTATTTATTTCTTATTTCCACTCATGAACGCTCCAGTTGCCATTCAAAACAAATCCTAATTAGAAAGATTTGATATTGACTGGTTATACTAATAATTGTTGGTTGTTGATGCGAAGTACTAGTTTTTCTAGTATCATGCTTATCATTGTGATTTGTGAACATTGTCTCATTTCCGTTTGCGTTTTTCTTTTTCACTTGGAATAAAATTCCACTTACCCTGAAATTATATTTTAGTTGATAAACCCATCACCAAAGATCACCTTTTTCGGGCACCATTAGTATGCAGGTGAGAGAGCGTAAACAAGTCCCTCGTCCATTTCCTTTCCTCAACTACGCCTCTAATAATCTCATTCCCCACTTTAATTCAAGAGACAAATATTATTAACTAGGATCAAACCCGCCACTGCCCATTTAACTTCCTATTCACAGAAAAGCTTCCATCCCACTAACCATAGCCCCTTCTAGCTGATTGAAGAACAAAATGCCCCTCCTAACCCCAACTTTCCAAAACATCACAGAAATTCCAAGAGCCAACCGACAAGATGATCAGACACCGGTGGATCCAAAACCGCCTTCACCTCTGGCAGTGGAATCCAAATCTTGAACCTCTTCAACCTCAGGCGTCATGATCCTCTCGATTATCAGTTGCGCGATCCTGTCTCCAATCTTCACTTCAAAATCAGCATCCGAATGGTTGAACAAAATCACTCCCACAGGTCCCCTGTAATCCGCGTCAATCACACCCGCACCCACATCAATCGAATGCTTCCAAGCCAAACCCGAACGTGGTGCTGCAGAATCCAGGAATTTAGCCGAATTAATCCCACAAACCAATGGCCTGAAATTGTTAAGAGATATTAAATTTGTCATTACCTATTCGAGCATAGGTTCCTTCAGGAATCGCTATGCTCAGGTCAGTTGCTACCAGAGCCTTCCCTCTTGCTGGCACCTTCGTCTCCACCGCGCTGCAACATTATTCAGAAAACATGGGTTTTTAGTTATTCACAATAAATCTGAGAGTGTGAGAGAGAGAGAGAGAGAGAGAGAGAGAGAGAGAGTTTCTGATCAGAGACTCACCTAGATAGATCGTAACCGGCGGAAAGAGAGGAAGCCCTAGAAGGCAAAACGGCCTTGTCAGAGAGCTTCTTCACTCGAAGAAAAGGCACAACGGTGGTGCCATTGTATTCAACCTTTTGGATATTGGGGGAAGGTTCCCGGGCCTCACAGCCATTGCTCTGCATCGCTGTTTGAGCCATTGTAGGAAGACGAAGACGATGAGGAAAGATTGGAAAGGAAAATGGTATGAGGCGAGGCGGAGAAGATGGAAGGTAGGAGTTATATAGAGGAAGAGACAGGAAAGATTTTAGGGCGCCAAGTTTTCCCGCCATTTTACTCTGTAGTATGAAATGTAGTCTCCATCCCCTGCTTAATGCTCAATCCTCACATTTCACGAAATTGCATTGAAACTTGGCAATGGCCATGCATTCTTTCTGCGACCCAAGATCAAACCCAACTCCTAAAATTAAAACCTCCGAATATCAAATGTCTAAATCCAAATTGAAAATGCTAAATTCAACAACTTCCTTAACTAAAATATATATACTTTCCAGAATACCTAATCTCTAAATAAATAAATGCGAGGGTGAGAACAATAAGAAACCTGAGATGAGGAGGAAGAAGAAGAAGCGAAGGAGCGTTGCGCGAAGGACGGTTTATGGGTTCTGATCTCCCAGGACAGGAATACGGCGGAGAAAACTCCTCCTTTCAAAGCGAGGGGGGTTTTCGCCCGAAAAAAAAAAACATAAAACAAAACAAAACAAAAAAGAGGCAAGTGGGATCAATTTTGGAGATCCTTGTGACAGCCTCTTTTGCGGGCATCAATTTCAATATTGTTATCATAAAATTTGGGCTTAAAATTTTAGTTGGAAAAGTATTAACAAATTTCATTGGTCTAGTTGTATTATCTATTAGATTTTCGATTCTAATTGTCTAATAATTATCTACTGAATTTTTATTCTTTTTGTGATTCTTATATGGTGCTCATAAACTATATTCATATATGTCACAAAAAAAAACCTATATTCATATAAATAAATATATATAATTGTAATAATTATTAAGACATTAGAATCTCATCCTTCCATCATTTTTAGATGAGGAATCAGATACAAGTCAAGAGAAAGCACCAACTGAGCTTATGGGGGTGTTTGGATAGAAACCAAAACATGGTTTCAAAAATGTTTTTACGGTTTACGAAATAAATATGTGAAAAAATTTGTCTCGTTTTACGAAAAAGTGCTTCTAAAACTATGATTTGGAGGTTGCCAAACACCCCCTATATTTAGTAGTCATGACTCCTTGTTGCTTTTACTTTTGTTATTTAAAATATTTAAAAAGGTTGAATTGAAATATATTATTTTAATAAATGAAAGCATCAGCATGCATTAAAGACTGCTGGCAAAAAAAAAAAAAGCTATGCATTAAAAACAGTTAAAAGCAAGCAAACTGATACAAAACGTAAAGGGAAAAACTATTCCTCTCATTAAGTTCCAGTCCCATAACCACAGTGGAAAGTACCCTAAACAATAAACACCCATGAAGATAGCAATAATAATGAACTTACAAACATAAAAGAACACAAGTAAAAAACAGTAAACAAGAAGACAGGAGCCAAAAAAATTATCATTCTATTTAATCAGCTTACGTTAATTCTGAGAGATATTTAGGTAAAAATCAAATCATGATTTTAAAAATAATTTTAAGATATAAGAAATAAACATATAAAAAGAGTTTCATACGCATGAAAATATTTTTTAAATGATTTTGGAATATCCAAACCAAATATTATTTGTTGTTGAATTAGATTGGTGTGGTGTCTTATTTGGTTTAGCTGATTGAATAGAATGGGGTCTTTACATCTTCAAATTTCTTCGTAAACATTGTAACACTGTTTTCGCGATGACCCCTTATTCATCCATCACATGCAACATTGCTCAGCTAGTTAACACTTGGCCAAGCCATCAATGTCGAAAGGACATTTTTCTGGCCGTTCGTTTCGAAAGGACATTTTGTTCCCACAATATATGTAGCCATTTTACATGCGTTTGTACCCGGTTAAAAAAAAAAAAAAAAGGTTCCACATACACACTTTGACTAAACCCCCAAAATCCTACGAGTATATGATACTGCCAATTACATATTTCAAAACAAGATAAAACTAAAGAGAAAACCCTATTACAAGGTTAAAATATGAGAAATTGAAAAATAGAAAATTAAGAGAAAGGAAAGGGATACAAGAGGCTAAGACAAAACAAGATCCAAATCTTCTAATGAGCAGAGTGGGTTGAGGATGTTTTCTTAAAATCAATCTTGTCAACCTTCACCTCTCCATCAATGAGTTCATAGACATAGACCACAACACGCAGGCCATCAATGTCCATGAGGACAAAGCTTGGGTTAACGTCGTAAGTGATGCTGCTGTAAGCACCTGTTGCAGAACCTGGATTTATAACGACACCACCCTCATGTTTGTAAGCGGTGAACTGATGGGTGTGACCAGTGACAAGGATGTCCACATCAAGCTGTCTCTGAAGCATTGCCAGTGAGTCTAGGTCGCCCCATGGAATAACCTTCATAAACAACAAGAACAAAGCATAAGAATCATGTAGCAGTACATAAGCTGGCATTATATTTGTTTTCCTCTGATTATATTTGTTTTCCTCTGACATCCCTTTGATATCTAATGATAACAATTAATTTACATTCAAGCATTCCTGATACCTCACTTATGGAGTAACAAGTCTTTTATTTTAAACTCAACCCAACTGGTACCGGTAAATCTTTAGCTTCTACTTGACTGAACCAACAATAATTACATAAAAATCCTACAAACTGTGGGAAATAGTTGAATGGAAAGTTAAGAAACAGTTGCAGGTGGTACAGTGTGAAACACCTTCAATCGGAAGACAATGAGAGATAACCATTGCCCATATGTGCAACATGTATTTGAACTAAGAAAAAATGGCATAGTTTATGCGAAGTTTCTTCAGGGGATGCTACATAAATGGGTTCAAAATATTCCTTCAATGCCAAAATATTTTCCCCGGTCTTAAATTATAGAACTTTTCACAGTGAAACAAATCCAGGAGTCAAGCCCTCTTACTGCCACAGAAATCTTAAACTGCACAATTTCTGGAACCTAGATATGTAAGGAAATAAAATGGCAGAAATAATAGCTGAGTCAAAAATTAAAAAAAAAAAGATAATTAAAATAAATAAAAAAAAAGGCAAGACCTGATGGCCATGGCATAGTCCCAGCTTAAATTGACCAATAGTTAGTGTTTTGGTCTCTGGATATCTTGTATCTTCATCATATTCTCCACGAGTTATATGCAAATCAGGACACAGAGTCTTCAAATAGTCATGAACTTCCTGAACATAATTGGCATTCAGTTAGCTTAGAAGTCCAAGGCCATATTATCTAATTGAACACCATACTGGCGACAAATTGCAACTCTTTGCATTATCAAATAATTTTTACTTTCGAAGCCAATTCCCACAGCCTCAATGTTCATTCAGTTAGTCTTACTACCTCCAGTCCTACTTGTAAGACCTAGTTTGTAGAGCAAATTGCACTACAAACTAGATCTTATAATTAGGAATGGAGACAGTACTATTTACAGTAGAAATCACTTCTGGAAATGTAAGTCCAATTGGAATGAACAATCAAAATAACTGACTATCCAGGTAAACAAAAAATTAAGTCTATTTTAAAATTCACAGTTTAAAATCTTTGTTCAGTTCACCTAAACATAAAATTTTTATCCAAGATCCCAGTATCTGGAGAAATCAGTATAAAAGTTTAGAAACTCCAATACAAGGTAGTTGTAAAGTTATAATCCATCCAACTTTCAAGGGAATGTGATCTCTCATAAGCATGTTGTCTGAGTTACATGAGCTACTACTGTTCTCCTTCACATAGCTCAAACTTTCAGTTTGAGTGAGGAGTGGGTTGTGACATAGATCAACAAAAGCTGAAACTGGCATCCTACCCACACGTTATATGATCTGGGTAACCAAATCCAAAAGAAAATCTCTGAATTACATGTTTTGTGACAGAGCGCCCACTTACAAAACATATACATAAGCGCTAGGAGAATAAAACAAAAAATTTATAATAGTAAGAGTTAAACTCCAGAAGAAGGGCAAAAAAAAAAAAAGGCTAGATATCATTCTTAAAAGAACACAAACTGTAATGACATCATGCTCCGTGCTAGAAAAACCCCTCGTGTGATACCATAAAATGTTAAATTAACTAACTGGAGCTTTCTAGCCTACTTTAACATGTCTGGCCAAACAATCTCATTTGATAGTTATCCACGAACATTTTGAACTATGGAAGTAGCAGTATTTCAGAGCCTAAAATGAAAAGAAAGGACTAAGAAGATGCAACTCATTAATTATGGGTTTCTCAACCCAAATGAATCCTAAATATGAGTTTGTACTTGATCCCTAGGAATTTTATTGATTGATTTATAACATGACTTGCATATGCCAGGATACACACACGTACTGTGTGAATGTAAGTATTTTGAGAAATCTGATAGTAAATGTGAATGTTTCATTTTTATTTAGTACTCTCCCCCTTCCAAAATACAAGAAAGATTTTTTCCCCATTTTACATGTCTTTTTAAAAGTACAATACAGCATTTATTGATTTTTTCCTAGTATAATCTTATTTATAATCTCAATTTAGCATTTTACACCTGTTTCTTTATTTTCTTTTCATTAATTATAAAATTAGCTAAGGGCAAATGTGGAAATGTAAAAGAAATTTTGCCCTATTAGTTGCATTTCTAAATCTGTGAGCAAAAAGCTTAAAAGACCTTTATTTTGAAAAGGAGGATGTATAAAATTGACAACCATTTCAATTGCTTTCAGAAAACCTATGACAAGCCAATTAATCACGAAGTTAAACACTCTTATTTAGGAAGGAACAGGAATGCCTTTACTAAGATTGTAAGTGTGCAACTACAGGTAGTTGGTGTATGCAGCTTTAATATGGCACGGGCGAAGACTGAAGAATAACTAAAGTATTTGAAAAGAGATGCAAAAACTAAAGAAATGAAAGCCCAAAATCCAATAAGCAAATAAATGCTTCAGCATGCCAGGCTATTAGCAACAGCAAAAAGAGCATTTTTATTGAAAGTTATTTTCTTCTTCATTCTTATTTTATTTATCATTTTCTTTTCTTTTTTTCCCTGACCAAATGAAATGTACTTTCATTTACTGATAAAATCGACGGCAAATTGACCAGTAGGTAGTGTAACTCTCAACATTTTAATTTAAAATGACATTAAATCACCATTATTCAACACCTAGTACAAATACTGAAGAGATTAAGTAATCACAATTTAAAGCAAATAGGAAGCAATAAACAGACAACTACTAATTGAGGGAACTATAAGACTGTCCACCAAAGAAAGTCACAAATTGATTCATATTCAATTAGAATGCATGAAGATATTTTAAGGATATACATTATTGAGTGATCAAGTTTTTTGTATGGCAATTACAAGAAGAATGCTGTTGGTCACAAGCAGATGTTATGAAGCTATTTTAAGGAAATACCTTATTGAACGGTCAAGTTTGTTATATGGCAATTTCAAGGAGGACACTGTTGGGGTCACAAACAGATGTTATGAAGGACCTCCATTAAGAGGAAGCAAAGAGTTGAAGCCACTCACACACACATATACTATGAATAATATGGATAAGCTCAGTAATATAGACACACTTTGTTAAATGATTAGAAGAAAGAAAGATAGACATACTTTGATACATAAATTGCCAGTGCAAATGATGTGCTGGATCTTGCCAGGAACAAGCATGGATTTGAACTTCGCTGGCAGATCAGGGGCCCTGTGCGGTATGTGCAAGTCCCCCAGCGCCAAGACCAGTACCATTCTTAACAATCAAAAACTGAAAGCCACTTAGGGAACCTGCAGAAACAGAGTATTGCTTGAAAACAGAAACAATGACTCATTTCAAATGTATCCAGACCAGTGGCTATTCAGATTACAGAAACAAAACGTAAGATAGGGCTCTGTGTCATCAATCATCATCAGATAAAACTTGTTCATCAACAATTATTAGCTAACGAACTAAATATTGTGGTTTCTGTACACAAATTATTTGATTAAGCTTGTGATAGAACAATCACATAAATATTACTGAATCAACAAAAATACCAAGAGAATTCCAATTCAGAGTTAAGAGATATAATCCTGATACAAAGCAAGTAGTACCAGCCAAGAAAACATAAGAGAAGAAAATGACATCAAACCACAACAGCAGAAACAAAGAACTAAAACCCTGCCTATCTTTTGAGAAGCAAAAATCACAGTCAGAACTCTCCTAGATTTATCCACACTGATCATCCCTTCAAAGATCAACCCCTGAAGGTTCCCCTGAGGCCCTGATAACCAACATATTCTCAGTCCTCCAGCTTGCCCCTCTCTCCTCAAGCTGCCATACAAAAGTAGCTATTCCCCTTGTAATTCCCTTCCTGCCCCTCTAACACCTCCTTGCTCTTTACTCGTGGAGAACATGATTAAAACTATTGACTCCACTTTTTAATTCACTTCCCGCAGACCTCTTTCTCTTCTCTTTTTTCCCTCCTTCTGCAATATTATTACATATATTAACAAAGGCTAGTCAGCTTTCAACAAAGAGATGTCAGTAATTGAAGTTTTCTCACTTATCCATAACCTTAACATTCAGTTTTCCGCCCATACCCATTTTACTGTTAGCGGAAAAAAAACTGACGCCTTTCTTTGCAATATGTAATTTTCGGCTCATTAGAGAGTGCGGCTCCATCATGTTGATTTGCATTAAAATGCAATGTAATACTTATAATCAATTTCCATTTTGCGATATTTTTTCAAGTATCACTTGTCTCCATTTACACTGAAAAAGAGGGTGTGAAATATTGAGTTGAATAGAGTTAAAAGCTATAAAATTCAATAACAAATCAGGAAATAGAATGATGGAAATTTACAGGACGTTGCTGGGAAATGAAAAAAATAGGGGACAGGATGATGGCCATGAATGGAGGCAACCACAGCGGACGTATATTACACTCAGTGGTGGCAGATGCCCCATTGGATATATATCCTTTTCATTTTTGTTCCAGATACTTTAACTAAGATGCCTTAGCAAGCGAATTGATTGAGGCAACTCCTCCAAGCCACTGAATGATTATCACTTAAACTCAACCTTCTACATTGTTAGACACAACTCGAGCCAAGTCATTTCCCAGATCATGCATAACAAATAACTTGAGAATTTTCTAAATAGATGATAATATAAAGAGATTAATATACAGTGCGAATACACAAAAAATCGAACATTACACAACAAAACAATCCAAACAATATAAGTCGCTGGAAATCAAAATGAAGAGGGAAGAAGTATAATAGTCGATTACACGACATTGAAGCAAAACCTGGTAACAAGAGTTTTCTCTTTCAAAAAGTGAAAGAATCTTTATTCAAAAACATCGATATCCGAAAGATCACACGACCAGATTCAAATCTAGATTCAAAGCCAGATCGAACAAATCAATCTCACAGGATTTTGGCAGTGGACAAAGCCCTAGGGTCCGAACCTTCTTCAATACTTGCCCGAGAACAACCACGCAGGGCTGACAACGGCGGACGGCGTCCGACGACGAGCCCGACTAAGTATGGAGCGCTTGTTCGTCAACGAAGAAAAATGGCTTCTATTAACTTTTTTTGTTTTTGGGCCAGTAAAGCTTCCATTAACATCTAACAACTATTATCACCGTCATCGTCATTTATGTATTATTACCTTGGGCACTTAATATAAGAAGTGATTCCCCTAATATAAATAGATTAAAAAACTAATTAAATTAGTTATTTATAATAAATAGATGTTATTTTTTTCCAAAATATTATCATTAATCAAATATATTAACTAAAAATATTATTATTATAAGAACTATTTTGAGAAAAAATAAATATGAAAAATAAAGTATATTAAGATCTTATATTTATACCAAAATAAAAATTAAACAAATTCTTATATTAAGAACTAAAATGATATTATATATGGATTTTTATATAGAATATTTAGTCTTCCTCGTAATTAGATAATATTAAAAAATATTGTTAAATTAGTTATTTGTAAATATATATGTTGATTTTGATAGATTACCTTTTTAATAATTTGCATTAAATACTGGGTGTGATATCTTGAATTTTAAGATATTAAAGAAAGTAGGAAGAATTATGAAGAAATAATTATTAAAATTATTTAATGTCTAAAAAAATTGAGAAAAAATTATGCAATATTAATTTTGAGAGTTTAGGATATTATGGAAGAGTTAATTTTCCCAAAAACGATTTAAATAATTTTGAAACTAATTTTTGGAGCAAAAAGGCTTATTTCTCATACATTAAAAAAAAAATTAGAGGTTTACATCTGGATTGAAATTTTTAGGATAATTATTATATGAGTTAAAGAAGCCAATTGAGGCAGAAAATATTTAAAATGAATTAAGTTTTGAAATTTAGTACTATTTTCTTTAAAAAAATTTTAAAAAGTTAGAAATTAATTTTTGATTCGGACTTTTCAGAGAAACCATCTGATGGGTCAAAGGAACTAGTAAAGAAAGGAAATTTATTAAAACTATCAAGGATTAAATTTTGGAATTTTAATTAATTCAAAAAATAGAGGATTTTAATTGTAACCAAATGGTGATCAAGGAGCATGTGGATAATTTCATTTGCTCTCGCCCACGTAAACCATCTGATTCCCTTCCCATTTTCACTTGTTGCGACGCTGAACCAGGGAGAAGGAGCGAGAGAGTCCGAGAGAGAAACGAGAGTGAGAAGGGGGTGATCGGAGGTCAATATCTTGCATGCAACCCGTGATCTAGAGTAAGGTAATCCTTCTGAATCTTCTCCTTCCTTCATTTCTGGAGCATGTTTTGTAACTGTTAAAGACGGTTAAATCTGGTTGTAAGAGAGAGAAAGTGCCAGTTTTTAAGGGAGAGAAAGTGCCCAGATAGGCTGTGTTAAACGGTCATGATGGAGATTGTTGAAGGGGTTTATGCTCATGCATGTGTATTATATGCTCTGGGTTACTGTCGCAGAAACAGGGGCAATGAGTTAGAAATATGGTGTCGGATATAGCTTGTGAAAGTGAAAAACAATGATCAAGTTTGTAGTGGTTGATTTAAGGGATTGCATGTGATAGTTCGGATCTTTGTTGGGTGTATTTCGGATCTGAAAATTTTCAGATTCATTGAATAAAGTTGTTTGAGAATTTCAGAAGGGCGTAAATGAGAAGAATGAAGCATTGTGGTTGGGGGGTGTGTGTATTTGATTACTTGTGTTTTGACCCTGGAAGCTGGAAGTTAAGTATTCTAATTAAGTAGACGACAGCGGAGACAATTAAATGATGGTTAAGGCTCATGGTAAACATGTATAAATATATATATGTATGTATATTATCGGATGTATGTGTATATATAGGGCTTGGGGGTACTGTTAGGAAATGGTTATTGTGGAAGTATGTGTGTGAGACGTGATAATGATCTTGGAAGCTTTAAGGATTTAAGAAAATACCTCTGGTTTGGTTGTTAGATGATCAAGGAATTCTAAATTATATGTGCGCGTATTAGTTGCTGCTCTGTTTTGTTAATGAGGAGTCTAAATGCAAGATGCTTTAATAGAAAGTTTATAGACTTACAAAAATGTTACATTATAGATATGTATATAAAAAATGAATCTTAAAAGGATGAGATTTAAGAATAATGCCCCTGGTTAAATGATCGCTAAGAATGAATTATAGGGAATTGAGAATCAGGTGTAAATATATGGTATGTTTTGGAATGTTAGAGTTTGAGTTTGTGGATATCTTTTTTCCCCTCTTTTGGACAGCATTGTATAACTGCGGGGAAGTTGAATTTGATTATATTTTTGAAGCTTCAAAATGCATTCAAGGTTGTTTGTTTGATGTTCCAAATGCTTAGTACTTGAACGAACTACATTTGGGAGCATCAAGGTGAGGGTTAAATCAAGTTTGAGATAGTTGAATAAATGCGGTGGTTTGATTATGATTTTGGAAGTAAAAAGATAAGAAATGCTATAAGATTGTAATTGAATGAGCATAGAAAACATAGGAGTTTTAGAATTTATAAAGAAAAGTTGTTTGAGGAATGTTAAAGTTTGAAGGGATTAGCTAGGTGAGTAGAGTAGATATTTGAAGTTTGGGATTTTGAGTTTGAGGATGAGATTGATTGAAATTCAAGTATGAGGTTTTAATATATTAGATATTTCATTTTGGTGTCTGTTTTGGGGACCAAAGTATTTAAGCTAGGAATTGACCTGAAATTATTGTTTGAGGTTTCCAAATGGTGGATGGAAATTTTAAATGGGTAGATTAAAGATTAGTGTTTGGAAATCATTTCAAAGGTATGCATTAGGAAAATTCTTAACGGCACAGTCAACGATTAAGGTATGGGATAAAATTGATAATTGATAGAATTTGTTAGAAAGGTTGTTGGAGGAATGTTAGACCAAAGTTTAAGAAAATTAATAGATAATTAGAAATTGAAATTGCTTGGCTTGGAAATGAGATAAAATCAATTGGTGCGATTATATATATAATGGTTTGTGTGTCTCGGCCATGCATGCAAAATTAGTGAAGTTGGGATTGGATGATTGAGGCATAGAGGGCACCTTGTTGTCCATAAATGTAATATATGTAAATAGTATATTTGATCAAGATGACTTGTTATTAAGTAAGATAACTGATTGGAATTAAAAAAGGAAGGAGAACATTTCAAAAGGTATATTATAAGTAAGAATTATTGTTCAAAATAACCAACTATTAAATAAAAGGAATATAATTTATTAATAGGTCAAGAGAAATTATATCTTGATAATAAAAGTTTAATGGACTAAGTATTAACCCATTTATATATGAAACTATATTATAAGATTTGATATTTGTCTGAGCCCACCAAGAAAGCTAGTAAAGCAAAAATCTGGACAAGATACCACCTCCACATGTCACCACCTCACAGGCCACCTTGTACCGTCACATGTAACTATGATATAATTTTTCCTCAAAGTGACTTCTTCACGAGTTGAACTAGGGGTCCCGTGTGTGCGTGCACACGACTTCACTAGTTGATCTGCAATAAACCTACAAACATATTATGCAAAATTTAATATATATATATATATCTGTGTGTGTACAATATTCTTTTACACAAACAATTATATACACACATATAAATTATTAAAAAACAAAAATAACACTAGATGATCATTTTAATGATAACTATTTTTATGACAAAATAATTTTAAAATATTTGTTTTACTATTTATTTTATCTTTTTTTTTAAAAAAAATATTTTAATATAATATTAATTTCTAATGACACTAATTTTTAATTTTAAATTGCACATAATGTTTTCATAAATATTTTTTTTTTAATATAAGTCATGGGTCCTACATCTTTTTGAAAAGATAGATTCATTTTCCCCACCATGACCCATGAAAAATAGAATTTTCAACTTTCACCAAAAAAGGGGCTTCAATTCAATATACACATCCAGGTCAAAAGAAAAAAATCACAACAAAAAAGTTCGAAAATTTAAAGCAAGAATGCGATTGACGCGGCATAATGATGACCTTTTGAATGAATAAGGCTAACCCTATGCTTGTTATGAGTTGTTATGAGAAAATGAGAGGAGAGGATAAATTTTAATGAGTTTGATTAGAAAAATTGAAGAAGTGAGAATCTAAAATTTTGATAAAGAGGAGATGTAAGATAAAAGAAGAGGAAAATTTAATTAAAATTTTTTAAACTCTACTTCTTTAATTTTTTAAAATCAAACTCATTAAAATTTTCTCTTCCCTTTCTTTTCCTTAATTTCTTTCTTACCAAATGGGTTCTAAAGGAAACATTGCAAAGAGGGAGGATGTTGTTTCAGCCTTTATCAGGACTTGCACAGGAGTTAAAGAGGATAATGCTAACGCTATAAGAAAAAACGATGCACAAAAATGTTTCAGATTTGATGATGATGATTTTTGGAATGAAGATGATGATTTGCACATGGGGATGACTTCAAGCTGGGGTAGACGGAAAGAACAAGAAGATTAGGTGAGGCTAGCATCCAAGGATTATTATTAGTAGAATCACAAAAATGTCCCTTAGGGCCATTATGAATTTTAATCAAGAATAAATTGATAAATTAATAAAAATAACATGTGATCTCCTAAATAATTGTTTAATAATCTGATGTGGTGGATCTGATTCTCTCGTAATCCTTCTTTTTTCTTTTCTTCTCAAAATCTCATTTCTATCTTTGGATTAAATAATAGATGGTTTGATTTAATATTTTAAAAAACAGATGTCCATCTTCTCTCCTATTTATGTAATGTTATAACAATAGTTTTATAAAGTATAAAATCTGGATCATTCATTACTTGATCCAAGTGTGGAGATCAAATTCTTAGAAGAAAAGAAGAAAGAAGGATTCTGAGAGGATCGGACTGTGACGTGGTTTGTCTTACCAACTGGGAGATGGAAGCTCTTTTTAGGCAAGGTGAAATAAAACTCAATTCATATTCTTATATTATATTTTGTAAATCACGATTATTTCGCCTTTAATATATGGGAGGGTAGGTGGCTTCGACACCGACATGGTTGGTAAAAAGTTACTAACT